AAACCCTCTGGGAAGGAGCCGATGACTCACAGGCGCAGTGGACAAAGAACGTAGATCCCAGTGGTAGAATCTGATCACACACAGGGGAGCCGGATCTGAGCACCCAGACACCATGGTGGACAGATACAGTGACACAGACAGAGACCCAGGCCATGGAGCACGTGACAGTCACACGGATGTTTTCACACCAGCAACCCAGCAACTCTTCTTCCTGAAAGACAACCTTTTGGACTGACAAGTGGCAAAGTAACTTTTTTTCAAAGACCAAGTAACAAAGAAGCTACGGCTTCTGCTGTGACAGAAGAGCAGGGTCTTTGAAGCTTGAATTCAAGGTTTCTATCCCAGTGTCAACTCTGTGTGACACTGAGTGAGATACTCCAGTCCCTCCTCGGGCCTTCATTTTTGCATCTGTAAAATGGGTGTGCAGACAGCACCTGCTTCCTAGGGTTGTGGTTTCATAAGTTAAAACATAAACAAGCCATATACTCAAAGCACTTAGAACAGGATCTGGCCTAAATGTAACTATTGTCTTTAACAACAGGCAAAGCAGACACCCTCTGTCCCCCAGGGTGGATTGGTGGCTGGGGTGTATGTCAGCAATGTCTCGGGATACACAGGTGGGGTGGCAGTATGGCCCCTACGTGGCAGACAGGAGGCAGGACTTTCTCTGGGTTTGCAGACCTTGTGAAGAAAGGGCAGTCAGTTTTGTAAACAGAATGTTCTGGGTCTCCCTAAATTCCTGTGCCTCGAGTGTTATCCAGGTCCCCATACCTAATTCCTCCCAGAAACACACAACAGCCACGTTCTCATTCTTCCTGCTAGTTTCAAGGAAGTAAAATTAACCTGTTATTTTAAAATGAGTTATTTTGTTACAGATGATGTATTATAGAACTATACACTTGAAACTCATATAATTTTATTAACCAATGTAGCCTCAATAAGTTAAATTTTAAAAAATTTTTTGCCTGTTTTCCATTTCAAAATCAGGAGCCCAAGCCCTGCTCTTCCAGGGTCCCTGCTGAGCCCGACCTGGCGCGACTGCAGATCTGGTGCTGGCAGAAGGTGGGGGTCCAGGCCACGGCAGGAGCCTACCCACAGGGTCTCGCCTGACTGCTTCGGAAATCTTCCGACATAAAGCTCTCTTACAATTTAGGTGTCAGGGCCACAGCCAATGCCCTCTTTAGATGCTGAGATCCATTTCCATGCAAAATTGGCAAGAAGACTGTCCTGCCTCACACCATGGCTGCCCAGGATCAGATAGGCAGATGGGCATAAAAACGCAGCCCCAAGTGGATGGGTGTTCACGTCTGGGACCTCAGGGTGCCTGCCTGCTTCCCCAGCTCTCAGTGCAGGCTGGCCCCTGGGGATGGAAAACCCAGCTCTTATATATATTCTTTTCCTTGGCTCCGTTCCCCAGCTGCAGCTGGATCTTGGACTTTTGGCACCACCCAAGTGATACGGTCTTCAGATTCCTGCAAGGAGCCTTGATGGCTTCCAGGGTGGTAGGTCATGCTGTGGGAAGCCTGGATACCAGGGAGGGTCTGCCTGCTGGAGGCCATGGATACCTGGCACCCAGGATGGGGGTCCAGGAGAGGCCAGCCTGCGGTGGTGGCAGCCATGGGGCGCAGGTGATGTCAGCCCATCCTCAACCCGCCCCCCGTGTTGTCCTTGCAGGGTTTCTAATACTCTGGTCTTTTCACATCTCCATTGATGCCAGGTCCCAGTAGGTGGCTAGAAAGCCATCTGTCCCCTGCTTGCCATTCTCTTCCCCTCCCTCTGGATCCCCCACCTGCCGCTGAGGCCGTTGGAGAGCCCCAGTCGGGCTCCCTGTGCCTTGGTGCAGAGACAGGCAGAGGCACCCACTGCAGGGCCTGTGCTCTCCAGGGAGCTGTCCCTTGCCAGGTGAGCTACTCCAGGAAGCTGTCTCGCTGGAGGTCAGAACACGTTAGCCCTGCCCTGGTGGGGTGTCATAGGAAACCTGTTTTTATGGCTCATAATATATTAAAAAATTAAGAAATGCCAACACAGCATTTATGAATTTTTGATGTATATTAACATGGATTAGTAGACCTCCTATTTCAGTCTGGGTGCCATGTCTCAGGGATCAATTCTAACAACAATTACATTGGGTGACAACCTCAAAAGTCCATCTAAATCAGGATTTCTGTACCTCAACACTACTGACATTGGCAGGGTGGGGGTGGATAATTGTTGGCTGCAGGAGCCATCCTGCAGGATACTGAGCAGCGTCCCTGCCTCCCACCCACCAAAGGCCATTGCAGCAACTGCAAGCTGCAATGACTGAAAATGTCTCCAGACATCGTCAAGCGATCCCTAGGGACATCTCACATCTGTAAAATGAGCACATCTGCAAACAGAACCTGCCTCCTAGGAATTCACAACCCTAGCTGAGAATTCCTAGGTTAGAGGGCTCCACTGACCACCCCAGCAGCCCCCACCCAGGGAATTCTGCATTCCATAACCATCTGACGACTGTGGTCCCAGTGTGACCAGAAAGGGACCAGGCTTACAGCAAGTTTGCCTCAGGCCAGCCTGTACAGTGTGGGTTCCTGACTTCGTGTAGGAAAGATTTCACATCACAAGTCCAGGTGATTTTGAAAGTTATTTATTAAAGCTGGGCACAGTGAAACAAAGGAAGGGTTTAAGTTAGAGGAAGCAACAGAAGAGCTCTGGAAGTGTTATAGGAAAGAAGTGAGTTCAGTGGAAGGACAGAAAAACAGAGATGTGTTCAGGGCGTTGGCCTGGGATGAGCTGCCGCTGCCGACTGCTCCCCTGGCTGCAAGTCTCGTGGGGACCCTCAGCATTTAGGAGATGCACGCCTGTGGGGGAGGAAGGCGTGGGAGTGCTCCGGAGCCTGCCTGGGTCTTTGTTTAGGGGGTTCTTATGTTTTCCAAAGGTGGGCATTTTAAGGGGAGGTTTTAGGGGAGACTCTCAATAGAATAGTCATCAGCTTTATGCTGATGCACCAAAGGAGATTCAGCCCCCTGACTTGGCCTGTCCCGGGTGTGTTGGCACAAGTGGCACTAAATGGGTTTTAAGCCATTTACCCTCTGCTTGGGAAGAAGTGTAAACCATTTACTCTTTTCTTTTTTATTGAATTTATTGGGGACGACACTGTTTAATAAAGTTTCTGGGTTTCGGGTGCACAATTCCGTAACACATCATCTGTATATTGTACTGTGTGGTCGCCGCCCCACATCAAGTCTCCTTCCGGCACCATTTATCCCCCCTTTACCCTCTCACACCTCCCCCTCCCCTCTGACGATCATCATGCTGTTGTCTGTGTCTGTAAGTAGTTTTTTGTTTTTGTTTTTGTTTTGCTTAATGATTTACCTTTACGTGTCCTTGGTTAAGGAAGCTGGGATTTTGCAACTTACTAGACGGCTGTAAACAGCTTGGCCGTTTAACAATCTGTCTCCCTGTTTGACTTGTCCTGGCTAACTAGTCCATCTCACTGTGATGCTGCACATGTTTAAATGGAATGGAGAGAGGTGGCAACTCACAGATGCTGGGGGTCACCCTGGTTCACACTGACTGATCTATCAAGAATGTTTTCTGGAGTCCAGTGTGAGCTAGGGGTTAACTCAGCTCTTTTTCCCAGTTCATTAACACAGAGAGTCTTAGTATCATCCGCATTTGGGGCCAGATAAGTCCTTGGTGAGGGGAGGAGAAGGGCTGTCCTGGGCACTGTGGGTGTTTCATACCATCCGCCTGCTAGATACCAGCAGCACACACATGACCACCATCTGGACATGACAGCGGAGAGCATCTCCAGATGCTGCCACGTCCCCTGGAGGGCAGCATTGCCCCCAGTTGAGAACCACTGGTACAGACTGGAGGCCACTGGCGCCCTTGAGGTACCAGCCATGCAGCGAAGTCACTGACTAAGCTGCCAGCCCCCAATCTCCAGAAGCCTGGGGAGGTGAGGAGGCCCCTGGGGTGGCAGAGCTGGAGGCTGCCATCAGAAAAGGGTCTGGCCCTCCCTCACGGGCAGCACGGGAAGTTTTGTCCAGCCCTTGATAATAACTGTAATACTAACAGCTACAGTTTATTGTTTACTCGGTGTGAGGGGAAACTGGGGCAGTCTTGCTGGCTGGGCCACCTGACCTTCCCAGTCTTACTGGGGGCTGGGCACTCCTGAGGGCAGCCTGTCTTGCATATGAGAAAGTTCAGCCACAGGGAGTCAAACCTGCCCAGGCAAGGTCAGAGGGCCAACAGGAAACGTGAAAGGCAGGGTAATAGCTTGCAGTAAACTATGACGCTGGAGCAGAAAGGTGCCAATCCGAGTAAAGTGAGGCAGCCCCCGAAGCTCGCTACCCCTTGCCCCAACGTGAAATCCAGCTACAAGTCTTGCTCTTCCATGTTCTCTGACAGGCGAAGCTGGGGTCTCTCCGACTGGTACAAACCCAAAGCCCAACGGAAGTTTCCGGGGCGAACTTGTGGACCCCTCAGCCTTCCATCAGCTTCCACAAGCAACCCCAGCAAAAAGTGAAAGGAAAATCGCGGTTTTCCGGACTCCGCAGCTTCAAGACAAATCCTCCTGGGACCGACCGTCCCCCATTCCCCCAAACAATCGCAGCTCCGGAGCCTCAGCTCGACCCCACCAGGAGCCCTCCCCCTGATGCAAGGGTTCTGGGGAATGGTACATAAATGGAATTGGGGGGAAAGGGCTGCGGAGAGAGAAACTGAGGCAGGGCCTTCCGGGCGGAGTGGGGCGTGGTGGTGGAAAATGGGATCTCCCATCTGCTTGTTTACCCGGGGTCTCCCTTCCGCTGCCCAATCTCAGCCAAACCCCGGTCGCCGGCCCTGGCTGGGGCGGACAGGGGTGGGAGCACCTAGTGCTGATAGCGCCTGACGGCCTCCCACCAACGCCGGGAGTGGGTCGCCGAAGAGGAAGCATCCTCCACGCCAGCCCCATCGTCCTGGGCGGGGCCAGGGGCGGAGCGGGCGGGTGACAGGCCGTGACGCAGCCGGTCTTCTCTTATAGAGGCACCCGGGGGCGGGGGTGCAGGGACCGTGCTTCGTCGTTGCCGCCGCCGCCTCCGCATCCACCTCCCGCCTCCCACCAGAGCTCCTAGCAAAGCCGCCACCGCTACTGCCACCGCCGCATCCACAACCAGCGCCACCGCCATGCGCGAGATCGTGCACCTGCAGGCCGGCCAGTGCGGCAATCAGATCGGGGCCAAGGTGCGCGAGGGACCGGTCCCCGCTAGGCGGCTGGGAAGAGCAGAGGTCCCTGCGCTCCGCTGAGCTCCCTCGCCTGGGGCCTTTTGGCAGACGGGGTCCCCAGGAGGCTAGCACCCCGAGGACAATGGGGGAGGGGACGCAGGGACAAGGGCAGGCTGGGAACAAAGAGGCCGATATGGGGTGGGGCGCAGCCTTCTGTCTGCTGGGCACAGCTGGCTTCACAGCCGGCCCACTGTCCCCTGCACACGCACAAAGAGTCCCAGCCTCGCCCGCGGCTGCAGCCCGGGCGCCCTGACACCGGCGGTCTTGGCTGGAGTGGTGACTCGGCTTCACCCCGCCCCCGCCTCTCGCTTCTTGCGGTTTCGTCCGTGCCTCCCCACCAGCCTCTAGGCACCCCCTTCGACTTGCTGGGAGACAGGTGGCAGCCAGGGAGGTGATTGGGGGTCCTGACCTGGGAAGATGGAAGTCAGGGCAGGCCTGGATCCCCTCTCCTGCTCCACTGGTCCTTACCACCGCCACTGCCCCTCTAGTTCTGGGAGGTGATCAGCGATGAGCATGGCATCGACCCCACGGGCACATATCACGGGGACAGTGACCTGCAGCTGGAGAGAATCAACGTGTACTACAATGAGGCCACAGGTAGGATGGAGGGGCACCTAGGGGAGCAGTGCTGGGGAGGGGCTGGGAGGGGACCGCATGCTGGTTCCTGGCACTCACCCCAGCTGACCTCCATCTGCCTCCCTGCAGGAGGAAATTACGTGCCCAGAGCCGTGCTGGTGGACCTGGAGCCAGGCACCATGGACTCGGTTCGCTCTGGCCCCTTTGGCCAAATCTTTCGGCCTGACAACTTTGTATTTGGTGAGTCCGGGGCATGGAGCACAGACAAGGAAGCCCCCCTTTTCCTTTCACTTCCAAATGCTTGAGGACAGTTCTCCACCACGGCCCCCCAGCCCAGGGAGGGAAGTAGCCGTGGCAGCCAGGGCTGTGAGGTCAACGTGCAGGGCCACCGTGGGAGCCCAGGGGAGGCGTCCAATACAGGCCTGTGCACAGACCCCAGCGCTGCCGCTTCACGCACGCTCAATTACTGAGCACCTACGGCATGCCAGGCCCTACCGTATCCCCTGGCAACACAGCTGAGAACAAACCAGACCGAGCTCCCTTCCCCCTGGAGCCCACGTCCTGGTGGGGGGAGGGGAGAGGACCGTATAAATAAGTGAAGCTCAGGCACTGACCTGTCAGCTGGGCGACGCTGGGCTGGCTCCTCGGCCTCTCTGTGCCTGTCTCTTCATCTTTAAAGTAGGGATTGTAAAAAAAATCCATTTCACAGGGTTGTGAGGCGTAAAGCCATTGATTTGTGTAAGGAATTTAGAACAATGCCAAGCATTGAGGAAAAGGTAAATAAGCATTTGTTGTTTTCATTATCACCATGATTAATGTCGGCAACCGAAAAGGTGACGAGGGCATTGAAGGCAGGGAAAATACACAAGGCAGAGAAAATAGCTGAAGGTGGGCAAGGACAGAAGCAGAGAGGACAGTTAATAGTAATAACAAAATTATAATAATCTTGGTCATGTATAATAATCTCATCATTATTCAAGCACCAGGATGGCTGGAGGTGGCGCCGCAGGGGCTCTTCCCTGACTGCCTGCTGCGCCCTTCCCTCCCTCCGCAGGGCAGTCTGGAGCGGGCAACAACTGGGCCAAGGGCCACTACACCGAGGGCGCGGAGCTGGTGGACGCCGTCCTGGACGTGGTGCGCAAGGAGGCCGAGAGCTGCGACTGCCTGCAGGGCTTCCAGCTGACACACTCGCTGGGCGGAGGCACGGGGTCCGGGATGGGCACGCTGCTCATCAGCAAGATCCGGGAGGAGTTTCCCGACAGGATCATGAACACCTTCAGCGTGGTGCCGTCGCCCAAGGTGTCGGACACGGTGGTGGAGCCGTACAACGCCACGCTGTCGGTGCACCAGCTGGTGGAGAACACGGACGAGACCTACTGCATCGACAACGAGGCGCTCTACGACATCTGCTTCCGCACGCTCAAGCTCACCACGCCCACCTACGGGGACCTCAACCACCTGGTGTCGGCCACCATGAGCGGCGTCACCACCTGCCTGCGCTTCCCGGGCCAGCTCAACGCTGACCTGCGCAAGCTGGCCGTGAACATGGTGCCCTTCCCGCGCCTGCACTTCTTCATGCCCGGCTTCGCCCCGCTCACCAGCCGCGGCAGCCAGCAGTACCGGGCCCTGACGGTGCCCGAGCTCACGCAGCAGATGTTCGACGCCAAGAACATGATGGCCGCCTGCGACCCGCGCCACGGCCGCTACCTGACGGTGGCCGCCGTGTTCCGCGGCCGCATGTCCATGAAGGAGGTGGACGAGCAGATGCTGAGCGTGCAGAGCAAGAACAGCAGCTACTTCGTGGAGTGGATCCCCAACAACGTGAAGACGGCCGTGTGCGACATCCCGCCGCGCGGCCTGAAGATGGCCGCCACCTTCATCGGCAACAGCACGGCCATCCAGGAGCTGTTCAAGCGCATCTCGGAGCAGTTCACGGCCATGTTCCGGCGCAAGGCCTTCCTGCACTGGTACACGGGCGAGGGCATGGACGAGATGGAGTTCACCGAGGCGGAGAGCAACATGAACGACCTGGTGTCCGAGTACCAGCAGTACCAGGACGCCACGGCGGAGGAGGGCGAGTTCGAGGAGGAGGCCGAGGAGGAGGTGGCCTAGGGCGCCCTCTGCGCTTCCTGTGTCTGCTCCCACCCCGCCCGGTAGGCCGCTTACTTTCGACCCCTTAGAGCCCCTCTTGGGCCCTGAGAACCCTGCTTCACCTCTAAGCCTGACTCACTTCAGACCCTCTGACCCTACAACGTCCCCCCTCCCCATCCCTGTCTTTGGTAACCTTTGACCCTTGAGCCCCACTTTGCCCCACATTTAACTCCACGAACCCTGTTTCACCCCAGCCTCCCTTTCACTTTTGACCTTCCCCAGGAATTCAAGGCACCCCCAGACCAAAAAGCGCTGTTTACTTTTGACACCTGTCACTGAGCATCTCTTCACCTCCAACCTTGCCTCACCTTTGACCCCACAAGCTCACCTGCCCTCTGACCTTGCCTTCTCTCTGACTCCTGCAAGCCCCCTGTTTCATCCCAGAACTCAGTCCCCTCGGCTCCAACTGACCTTGGCTTCCCAGGGGTCGTGAGGGGCTGCCGTGGAGGGAGAATAAGTCCTGGGTCATGTGGACAAGAGAGGCTGTGCCCCCAAACCTCCCCCCTCCTCCCCTCTACCTCACCCTTAATAAATAAATTATTGTCCTGCCATGCTTCTACTGAGTGCATTTTCTATCTCTATGTGGGAAGGCCAACAAGCAAGGGCGCCCCGCTTCCTGCAGGATAGAGGTGGGCTCTGAAGGGACATCTGGTCAGGGGTAGGGGGTAGGAGGGTAGGAGGGCAGGAGGTACAAATTCTGGAGTCAGACAGACCGGCTGTGCCACTAACTGTATGGTGTTAAGTAAGCCATTTGCCCTCTCTGATCCTTGATTTGCTCGCCTGTAAAATGGGATCATATATTTCCCCCTATGATCCCTATACACTCACCCCAGGAATGTTTGTGAGGATTCCAGATCTTGTGGGTATGTTGCCTGGCACAGGGAGCGCTCGATGATGGAGCTGCTGCCACTCTCTGTGGGGCATCTAGCAAGTACGGAAAGCAAAGGGGGAGGGTTCTGGGGAGGTAGCAGCCTGGAGCTAGCATCCAGGGGACAGTCCCGTCAAATAACAGTCACTAACATGGATGGGGCACTCCGACATCCTGGTACATGCCTCATTGCACATAACCCTCACACCAACTACGTCTAAGCTTTTATCCTTTTTTCAGCCAAGGTTTAAGGTTTAGAGATGAAGTGTAGCAGTTTGCTTTGCCAGTGTAACTATCCCCAAAAGTTAGGGGCTTTAAACAACAAGAGTTATTTGTTTTGTGCCCAGATCTGTAATTTGGGCGAGGCTCGGCAGGGCAGCCCATCTCTGCTTCCTGTGGCATCAGCCAGGGAATCTCTGCTGGAGGCCGAGGGATTAGTTTTCAAGGTGGCTCACTCACCTGGCTGCCAATTTGATGCCAACTGTCGTCCAGGGACACAGCTGGGGCAGAGAGAAGGAGGGCGTCAGTACCTCTCTAGAGTGTGCTTGGGCTTCCTCACAGCATGGTGGTAGAGTTCCCCAGAAGCAAATACCCCAGGAGATCAAGCAAAATGCATTGCATCTTTCTGACCTAGCTTCAGAAGGCACTTGGTGTCCTCTAGATTCTGATCCAGGCCATCAGAAAGTCACATCCAGACTCAAGTGGGTGAGATACAGACTCCGCCTCTGGAGGCAGAGGCAAGATGCCATGTGAGCATGTGGGGTGGGAGATATCACTGTGGCCATCTTTGGAAATTACACTTTGGTCCCATGACTATGAAGCAGTGAGCTGGGGTTCAAAGACTGGCAGATTAGGTCTAGAACTCTGATTCCACCTTATCATGTAGAGTTTAGTGTAGGACCACGGAGGCATGTAAAGCAGAAAGGGATTTAATGCAAGGATTTAGACGCTTATGACACCATTGGAGGGGCTGAGAGAGTGGGCTGTAAGCAAATGCCTCTTAAACTTCAGTGTGCAAAAAAATCACAGGGAACACTTTGCTAGCACATTGATTCCTAAGCCCCACCCTAGAGTTTCTGATTCAGCAGGTCTGGGGGATAGGGCCCAAGACCTGGCATTTTTAACAAGTTCCCAGGTGATACTGATGAATGTGCCTATGAGACCACATTCTGAGTAGCCCTGGAACAGGCTGGAACAGCACAAAGCTGACCACCAAAGAGCTGCTCCCTCTGCTAGTCAGAAAGGTGGAGAGTCGGCAGGCTGCCATCACAACTATTAAGATCAAGAACACGCCCTGCCTGGTGTAGTTCAGTGGATTGAGTGCAGGCCTGCAAACCAAAGGATCATAGTTTAATTCCCAGTCAGGGCACATGATTGGGTTGTAAGCCAGTTTCCAGCAGGGGACACACGAGAGGCAGCCATACATTGATATTTCTCTCCCTCTCTCTCCTTCCCCTCTAAAGATAAATAAATAAAATCTTAAAAGAAAAAAGAAGTGCTCTTAAAAAAAAAAAGAACACCTCCCAAGACCCACAGAGATGAACAAATATTAACTAAAATGAATAGAAAATAAAATTAACTAAAATAAATTTCAGCAGGATTCACACACACACACACACACACACACACACACACACACACAAACGGAGAGGAAGGGGGTCTACCTCACTTCTACCTTCCAAATCTCCCAAGCATTTCTAACTGGTGGGATGAGTTCTACACCCAAACCAGAGCTGCAAAGCAGTCTAGGAAACGTAGTTTTCCCAGCTTCTGCAGTAGAAAGGAAGGCAAACCAGGAGGGAGAGAAAGAAGAGCCAATCAACTATTCTCACTACACTCTATGCTGGACCATTGGACCCTCACTGAGACCCCAGCCAGTTCACTGGGTCCTACTGCTGTCAGAAGGTAGGAGAAGTGTGATAAAGCCAGCCTGAATATCCAGCCCATAGCGACTCGCCTGTGAGCAGGCCCCCCCATAGAACTGGGTGGTAGAGCAGCGATAGACTAGGCAGTGAACTTGCTGCCTTTGGCATCCTAAGCCTAATGAGCCACAAAAGAGCTCCCTATTACTCCCATAAAACATCCCTTTTCTCAATAAATGGTACCATCCTATTGCTAAGTCCCAAATCTAGGAGGCAGCCTTGATTCACTATTTCCTACACCCAGCAGGCTCTTCCTGTCTTTTGTTGAATGCAGTTGTCTCTGCCTCCAAAACGTATCCCGAATCTGACCTCTTCTCCCTACCTGTCAATATTCTGCTCTAAGTCACCAGCATTGTTCACTCTGACAACCCATCCAGTCACTTGCCTGAGCCCCCTGATGCCACGCCTGCCCCCTGTAGTGTGTCCTCCTTCCACAACAGCCAGGGATGAGCCTTTATATGCAGATAAGAACATGTTCCTCCCCTGCTCAAAACTGCTTCATGACTCACTCAGATAGAAACCCGAATCTGCACCTTGGTCTTCACCTGCTGCTGACTATACCCCCATCACTCTCCTGCTCACTCATGAAAGTGAAACTACAGTGGCCTTTGTCATATGCTCAAGCATATCGAGCTTGATTCAACCTCAGGGCCTTTACAAATGCTGTTTCTTTTCCCCAAAGGTGTAAATAGCTAGCCCTTTTCACGAACAGATTTCAGCTCAAATGATGCCTCCTCTGGGCAGCCTCCCTGCAACTCTAAATTAGCACCCAGTAGCTCTCCATTGCTGACCTAGCTATACACTTGTTTCTTTTGTCTGTCTCCTTACCTCCCGACTGGAATATAAGATTCAGGAGGGCAAGGATCTCATCTACCTCAGTCACCATGTGCCTAGAACAGCTTGATGCAACACAGGCCCGCAGCAATTATTTGGTGAATGGATGGGCAAGTGAATGAATGACTTCATGCCACAGTGAAAAGTGAGAGTTTTGTTTTCTTCACATTAACGTGGGAAAACAAAGACACAGAGGGTGTGGGGCAGCTTCTAAAATGGCCCCAATGACCCCCATTTCCCCCATTTATGCCCTTATGTGATGTCTCCTTGAGTGTCAGCTGGACCTGGCAATGGCTTCTAACCGACAAGTTATGGCGAAGGTGATACAATGCCATTTCTGAGATTGGATTACAAAAGGCTGGGGCTTCTGTCTTGAGGAACTCCATTGCCATCTCAGCCAGCTGGAGCTGGCAAAGCAAGCAGCACGTTGGGAAGGTTTACACGCCAAGAATGGAGGGCAGCCTCTGGCCAGTAGCCAGCAGGAGACAGAGGCCCTTGTTGCAACAATGCAAATGAACTAAATCTGGCCAGCAGTCCCCCAGTGAGCTCAGAAGAACTCCTTCTCCAGTCAAGCCTTCAGATGAGGCCACAGCCTGACAGACACACCTGGTTATGGCTGAGACATCCTGTAGTGAAGGACCCAGCTAAGCTGTGCCCAGAGTCCTGGGCCCCCGCAGACACTGTCAGACCATGAATATGTATTCTTTTAAGCCACTAACTTTGGGACATTTGATACACAGCAATAGTAATTAATACAGAGAGATCAAATGACTTACCTAAGGTCACACAAACACTAAACAACTGAATCAGGTCTTGAACCCAGGTCTCTCTGAGCCAAAATCATTCTCTTAACCACTTGCTGAACCTATCTTCCATAATAATGACACTCACCAAAAGCTTGATTCAGGTCTGCAGGTGTGTCTATGGATCCTTGTATTTCAACATGACATCAGCATGCCTGTGTGTCTGTCTCTTTCTGAGTCTTCAGCTCTGCTTGGGTCTGTCCAACTGTGTCTCTTTCCAGGTATGTGACTGTGTCTGGCTATGAACCGGACTCACGGCCGAGCCCTGACTCTGTCTGTCCGTCTGCTACTGCTCTAGCTATGCCTGTGCTCTATGCATTTCTGTCTGTCATCTGGGTCAATTTCTCTGTCATCTTGTTTGTACTGACGGTTGTGATCTCTGCACACACGTCTGCCTGTCTGTGGCTTCCGTCTGGAAGGGTCCCTGTCTTACATCTCTGCATCACTACTTGGCTGGTTGAGGACTGACTGCTCCTCGTGTGTGCTGGCCCACTCTGCTGCTCACTTTGTGTCCATGGCTGTATCCTGCCTGGACTTGGTATCTCTGTGTCTGTCTACTGTCTGCAACTGTTCTGGCCTGTTTGTCTGTGACAACCACTTCCCAGCTGTGTGTGTCTGTCTGTCTGTGCCCCTGTTCTGACTGCTATTGGCTGCTGGCCTCCCCAGTGCCTTGTGCCCAATCTCTGGTCCAGCTCCCTCTAGTGGTCCGACAAGGAATATCTGGCGCAGATAGACCAAAGGGAAAGAAGAGTTGAGGGAAGAGGAAGCATTTTAGGCAAATTGTGAATCCTGGGCTGCGCAAAGAGGGGAAGGCTTGGGTGTGACAGCAGGGACCAGGCCTGGCCTGGCCTGGCCTGGCAAGATGGGACTGGAGTCCTGCCTCTGAGCCACCCATTGCCACCCATACTGGGGAAGGAGACAGGATGCCTGGTTTTCTCACAGTAGGTGGGGGCAGGGGCCTCCCTCCGGGGACGTCACCCATTAAACTTCCTCTCTCAGCCACACAGGAAGCTGAGCCTCCTCAGGGCCCAGCCCTGAGCAAGCATAGGCCCCAGGACCCCTGGGGAAAGGGCCTCACTGACCAGCCCTGCAGGGACCATGGAATCCAGAGCTGAGTAAGAGCATCCCTCCCCTATCTTCTAGACCAAGATTCCCAGACCAGGCTTGGGCTAGGGCCAAGGGGAGAGGGGTGGGGTCAGGCTGGGGAGGGACCCAGGGCCACGGAGCAGATGGCCAGAATCACAGCAGGACTCAGCTGGCTTTAGAATATGGACTCCACTCTGAGACACACTCAGGCCACTCTCAGCCCCTTCCCCCTTCTTCCTCCTCTCCCTTTCTCCCCTCCCATGCTTATGTGACTAAGTTTGTAGCTCTGAGTGTGCCCCTCACCTCTTGGTGTATCTGAGTGACAGGGAGCGTGGTTTCTGGGGGCCAGTGGGGTGAGGGAGGACTCTGTGTCCCTGTGTGTGAGTACTTGTGTGGGACTTTATCAACATGAGGGCTAAGTGGCGGGGGTCTCCAGGTGAGGGACAGTGTGTCTGCCGTCAGTCCCCATCCACTTCCTCTGCTGCCCTCCGGGTATTTCTCTATCTTCCTCCTCACTATCTCCCTCCCTGAGTGTAGTCTCGGCATGCTCTGTGTCATGGGTGGGAGGTGGGAAGAAGAGGAAGGCAGAGACCCCAGGGCTCACAGAAGTACTAGGGCATGCTGCCCTCCTTCCTCTGGTGAGGAATTTTGGGGTCAGCCCCTGTGGCCTCATAGAATCTCATACGGAGATGCAAAGGCAGGGCCTCTTGCTCTCAAGACCACCAAGATGCCAGCACATGTACCCAATCACACAGCCACACAAGAAACACAGACTCGTCACTATGTTTTGTCTTGGCCAACACTCTCACAGTCCTACCCGACACACACGCTGGACAGCCTCATCCTTTCGGGTGACACGAGATTGAATCACACATCTGCATGCTCACAGAAGTCATGCACACACACCTGCATGCTCACACAACTTATACAGGTCTTGCTCCTGCACATACAGTCACACTCCCTCATTCTGCTTCATACTCTCATTCACACAATCAACACCATTGCATGTACATCCTCACACAACCTACACAATCACTGCCACAAACCCTTGGGGATCACGCACACAGCCGCACAAGTCACACAGGCACACACAATCACACACATGTGCAGACACCATAGACACAACCACACACACAGAAGCAAGTTCATGAACCCATTAAGCCCTTTCTTGTCCCACAGAGGGGGTCCTCCTGCCATGTTTGATTGGTTCTTCGAAGCAGCCTGCCCTTCCTCTCTACAGGAGGGTGAGTGAGGAAGGGCATCAAGTGAGGGGCGGAGATGGAAGGTGGGCCTGGGGCCCTGAACTTAGAGGCCTACTTTCCCTGCAGATCCCCCCATCCTGCGGCAGTTCCCCCCAGACTTCAGGGACCAGGTATGCATGCTGAGTGCTTGCTCCTCTGTGGCCAGGGTCAGTCTCCCTGGGGGAGAGTGTGGGTTCCAACCCGAGTGGCCAAGCAGTGTGTGCTTTTCTCCACCCCCAGGAAGCTATGCAGATGGTGCCTAAATTCTGCTTCCCTTTTGATGTGGAAAGGTACGTGAGAAAGCAGACATCCAGAGACCTAGGGGCCCAAGGACTCAAGGATTCAGACACCCAGGAACCAAGGGGATCAGGGACCCTAACAACTGGGGACCTATACACCCAGGACACTAGAATGGTGGTGGAGCAACAGTACTAGGAGCATTGTTGGGGGTGTCAGGGAGCTGGGCCCCAAGGTCTCTGACAGCATTCTCTACTTCTAGGGAACCTCCCAGACATGCAGTACAGCATTTCACCTTCGCCCTCACAGACCTGACCGGCACCCGTAGATTTGGTTTCTGCCGTCTACGGGCTGGTGCCCACAGTTGTCTTTGCATCCTCAGGTGTGAAATATGGGTGTGAGGGGTGGGTCTCGACGTAGGGGCACTTCATGGAACCGATGTCCTCTCTCTACAGCCACCTGCCCTGGTTTGAGGTGTTTTACAAGCTGCTGAACACAGTAGGGGATCTCCTGGCCCAGGACCAAGTGAGGCCAACCTCCGTCCCCCTCACTCCATGGGAATCCGGCCCCCAGCCCAGCAAGCCCCAAGCCCAGGCCAGACCTGAGCCCCTTGCCTCTTCTCAGAATGCCCAGCTAGAGCCAAGGTCTTCAGAATCCCCAACGCACATTTTGACCAGACACCTCACTCCTACCCAGGTCTCAGAGGTCGAGGAACTTCTAAGTCGGCTGCAGCAGACCCTGCCAGAGACCCAGACCTCCGTGGAGCTGGTAAGTAGACCTGAACTCCTGGGCGTCAGACTCCAGGTGGATGGGGAGGCAGCGCCCCAGTCCGGAGGACCATACAGCTACGCCTCTCCCCCAGGGCAGTGGAGTGATGGTCTCCAGTACGCCCAGCATCCTGCCCGCTGCCCCCGAGGACATTAGGCCGGTGAGCAGGGCTAGGGGGCTGGAAAGGTTGGGATGCCATGTGAATCCAACCCCTGACTGATAGGTTTCCCCACCCCACCAATCCCTCCCACACCAGCTTTCCTGCTTCGTCGCCCCTGACTCCGGCCGCCTGCCATCCATTCCTGAGAACGTGAGTGGACACCTGGGAGGGGGCCGTGGGTGCAGGAGGAGGTCTCGAAACCTGCAGGGGCTCTCAGATCCCGTGGACCCTCGGGCCCAGCGCTGCTCTTTGTCCCTCAGAGGAACCTAACAGAGCTGGTGGTGGCAGTGACCGACGAGAACATCGTGGGGCTGTTCGCGGCGCTCCTGGCGGAGCGAAGAGTCCTGCTCTCCGCCAGCAAGCTGAGCACCGTGAGACAGACAGGGCCGGCTAGTCTGGGAGGGGCCGAGGCCTGGCTCCGCCCCTGGGGGCGGGACGACGGGGGGCGGATTCCTACTCTAAACTCATCGGGCGACACTTGTGGGCAAAATCCTGGCTCTGCCCCTCTGAAGGTCAGGGTCAAGTTGAACCCTGGCTCTGCTCTTGTAGGGGGAATCAGTAGCGCTGTAACCCCAGTTTGTGGGCTACTCTTTGGGAGCGCTGAGTTCCGACTCCACCCACTGTGGGCCATAATAAGACTGGCCCTGCCCCCTGGGGGGGCGTGACAGTAGGGAGTGCCAAATTCTAGCCCCGTCCCTGGGGACAGGACGGGATGGTAGCGGGTGGAGGCTGAATGTTGACTCCACTCCTAGGGCAGGACCAAGGAAGATGAATTCTAGCTTCGTCTCTTTAGGAGTAGGGTCAGTGGAGGGAGTCGTGGCCCCACCCCTAGAGGCGGGACTGGGGCGGGTTCAGAGATAGCTCCGCCTCATTGGGGTGGAGCCAGCAGGCTGAGTGTCCCTAAGAAGAGGGATCCTGAAGGGTTGTGTATTAGCTCCAAAGCCTAGAGGGAGGGACTAGGACGTCCTGAGTCCTGGCTCCACCTGCTCCAGGCACTGTAAGTTGCCAGATTTTAGGTCTCCACGTGATTTCTAAAGGAGTGTGAATTTTCACCTCTTACTCTGTAGCGTGTGGGTAAGGTGAGGTAGGTGGGAAATGGAGCTGGGAGAGCCACCATCGCAGAGAGGGTTTTTGAAGCTGGGAGTCCAGGCCCTGAATCCATCCGTCCTCATCCGTCCTCAGCTGACCTCATGCGTCCACGCGTCCTGCGCCCTGCTGTACCCTATGCGATGGGAGCATGTGCTGATCCCCACGCTGCCACCGCACCTGCTGGACTACTGCTGGTGAGGGGCAGTATGTGGGAATGGACAGGACCTGGGGTCCTGGGGACCAGGGGGCGGCCCGCATCACCCTGCTCCCCCTGTCCTCCCTAGTGCTCCCATGCCCTACCTCATCGGAGTCCACTCCAGTCTCACCGAGGTGAGTGGGGATGCCCAGGGCCTGTGGGCACAGGCGGAGTTCTCCCCTCTCTGCATCCCCAGCTGCCCTCCCTGCCAGGGATCCTCGGTCTCTGAGCGTGGTACCCCTACCATCCTCCATCACAGAGAGTGCTGGAGAAAGGCCTGGAGGACGTCGTGATGATCGACGTGGACGCCAATATCTTAGAGACGCCCTTCGACGACGTGCAGGCGCTGCCCCCAGACGTGGTCAGTGTCGCCGCTCCTGCCCTCCTGCTGCAGCCGGGAGGCAGAGGGCCCCAACCCGCCAGCTCAGCGCCACTCCCCTGTCCTCCAGGTGTCCCTGCTGAGGCTGCGGCTCAGGAAGGTCGCGCTGGCCCCGGGAGAAGGGGTGTCCCGTCTTTTCCTCAAAGCCCAGGCGCTGCTCTTTGGGGGGTACCGCGACGCCCTGGTCTGCAGCCCGGTGAGCAGCGGGGACACCGAGGGAGCAGCCTCGTGGGCCCTGAAGGATTCAGAATAATGCTGATACCTACCGTTTATAGAGTGCTTACTCTGTACCTCCGTTTGCCCATCTGTAAAATGAAATCCAGATGGTACCCCCCAAAAGGATGGCGTGAGTCAATAAGTGGGCATATGCAAAATGCTTGGATAGTGCCTGGAACATCGTGAGTACTCAAATGCTAGGTTCTACTATCTCGTCTAATGCTCACGACAGTATTATGAGATAGATGCCATTATGGTCCCATTTCACATATAAGGAAACCGAGGCTTGGTGAAGTTCTACAGTGGGCGAGTGTTAAAGCCAGGACTTTGATCTGCTGACTTTCAAACCCCTTCCACTCAGTTTTTCACTATTCTATAAAAACTTGGGGGTGGAGAGATTTATCATTTAGGCATCTGATGTTCCTGTCAGCTTTGTCTTTGCAACTCATCCAGAATCTGTCCATTTATCCCTGTCTCCACCCTGGTCTGGTCCCCGTTATTGCTCATCTGAATCAACGTGCTTGTCTCCCCGATGAGTTTCCTCTCCTGGGCTTCCACCATCACACCCCATAGTCTTTCCTCCCTGAAGCAGTCAGAGGTCGCCTGTGAGCACTGACGTCACTTCTCCTCCTGCCTCTGCCCCAGGCCTCCCACCTTCCTCTGGGTAAAAGCCCAAGTCCTCTCAATGGCTCACGAGCCCCTGCACAAGAGCAAGCATACAGCAGGCGCTCAATTACCATTTGCTACGTAGATATACGGCAGAGTGAGGGAGATAGCTGGTGTCCAGGAGAGCCTCAAGGAGCTCAGGTTGTGGGTCCTTCTTCCAGGGTGAGCCTGTGACCTTCAGCGAAGAAGCATTCTTAGCCCAGAAGCCTGGATCCGCCCTGCAAGACTTCCACCAGCGGGCTGTGCACCTGCAGCTGTTCAAACAGGTGCACCAGAGCCCTAAGGGCGGGGCTGGAGCCGGAGGGGTGAGGTTAGGAACGCAGATGCCTGGGGTGTTTGGGCTAGAGTCAGTCCGGCCCGATCTCCAGCTCCAGGTTGGGAAGGCAGGACTGAACTCGTTTTCTTAAAAATGAGAGCCCCCGTCCTGACTTCCTAAGGGACAAAAATCTACTCCTTAGTCCCTGGGGAGAAGTCTGGGACCAAATTCCCGGCTCTAGGGCAGGAGTCTGTGCTGGCCCTCAGAAGGGGCGTGTCCTGAGAGCGTATCTCCCTCCACTTGGAAGGAGGGGGCGGAGCTCGGTCTCCTGGGTCCTGGGCACCTGGGAGGGGACTGAAGTGCGGCCAGACTCCTGGGTTTCTGGAAGAAGGTGGATGGACTCCAGGATTTTTCAGTGCGGGTGTGGGTTCTAGGGTCCCTGAAGGTGGGGTGGACCTCTTCCAGGGTCACTGGGAGGTGTGTAGTCTGAAGTAGCAGAACCCGACTTCCGGGCCCCTGCGAGGGGCGGAGTCTGGTGCCCCACCCGCAGGTGGGGGGGCGGGGCGGGGGCGGGGAGAGGGTTGGACTTCGGGTTTCCAGAGGTGGCTCCAGACCTCCCGGGTCCTGGGGGTGGGACCCTAAAGGAATCTGAAATGGCTTTTACGTCTTGAGGGCGAGAGGACTCTAGTCCTCGCATTCAGACGTATTGGTGGCAGCCCTGCATCTACCTGACTCTCTGACCCTTTCCCCCACCCTCAGTTCATTGAAGGCCGGCTGCAGAAGCTTAACACAGGAGAGGGCTTCTCAGATCTCTTTGAGCAGGAGATTACCTGCAGCGGGGCCTCCTCAGGTGAGCCCGCACCTAGCCCTGAGTCCCCACCCCACCAGCAGCACCCCAACCTGAGCCTGCCTGCCATGACCATGCTCTTTCCTCCCTCCAGGCACCCTTCGCTCCTACCAGCTCTGGGCAGACAACCTAAAGGTATTAACACTGAACACTTGTTCAGTTTATTATTACATTAATTTAATCCCACAACAGTCCCCACATAGGGTCATCATTTGCTCACTTATAGAGGTGAAGAAATTAAAGCACAGAGAGGGAGAAGGGCTGGCCCATCGTCACACACCCTGGGGTGAAGTGCGCTCTGGGGTAACCACAGATGCCCAAGCCTCTCTTGACATTCTCTTCCCAGAAAGGTGGTGGTGCCCTCCTGCATTCCGTCAAGGCCAAGACCCAACCGGCCGTCAGAAACATGTACCGCTCGGTAATATGGGGCTGGACAGGCTATTTACTGGGGTGACAGAGGACATTTCAACCCCATATTTAAAGTGCAAACATTTTCTCAACTAAACCAGTAGTTAAAACCATGAACAGTGTTTCCCACTTTTAGTTTCTATTCACTATTCTCATTTCTGCTGGGATAATCTCTTTGCTATATAAAATTGATGGCCAAGAGTCATCCGGGTGTTTCTGCCCCTCTCAGACACTGCAGACCCCGCTTCCACCCTTGTGGGGTTTTCTCCCAAGCCCAAGTGTCCTGGGGCCAGCTTTTGCAGCATCAGATTGTTCAATTTTATTCTTCGCTTGGTTTTTGAACACAAACACATTTTTACGATGTCCTGCTTTTGCCAGTCCCCGTTCCATGTGGGCGTTTTTGTCCCAGGAATATTTCTTCTGTGTTTGTAAAGGGGCAAGCGCTTATACTGACTCCTTAGGTTGTGTATGGGGAATTGTAAATACTGTATTTGCCGTGTATAATGTGTACTTTTTTGCCCACATTTTTGAGGGAAAAATAAGAATGCACATTATACACAGGTAGTGTTAATTCCGTGTCTATATAAATGTTTTTAATTCTTTTATTTATGCTTAGGTATTCAAAGTGTAACTCCAGAAAAAAGTAATGATAGCCATATGCAAAATAATGGAATACAATCATCGGTTTTGTTTCTAAGTATAAATACATTAAAAATTGAAATAAAAAATTAAAACAAAAGATTTTTTTTCCTGAAAGTTTGGGCCAGAAACATGGGTGTGCATTATACGTGGGAGCACATAATACACAGCAAAATATGGGTGTACATGTGAGACACAGACATGAATAGATGGCGAGACACAGCTGTCTGAGGGAACAGAGGGCCGAGTTCCTGAATGCTGGGTGTCAAAACACCTCGAATCTAATTCTCTTTTGGCTCCACCATAGGCCAAGAGTGGCTTGAAGGGAGTGCAGAGCCTCCTGATGTACAAGGTAAAGCTCATGGCCAATAGCCCAAGGGGGGTGGGGAAACAGGCTCACAGCTCACCCACCGTCTCCCTAGGATAAGGATTCGGGCCTGCAGAGGGGAGGCTCCATGAGGGCTTTGTCCCTCACCAGCCGCTCAGATCACCTGCAGCAGCGCCTGCCAATAACCCACCACTTTGGACAGGTAAGATGCCCCACCCCTGCCTGACACACACACTTGGAATTATCACCAAGTCATCCTCCCATTCTCAATCTCCATCTAGACAGCTCACCTCTCTCCTCCTGTACCCCAGTATCTGCTGGCTACTTCATACTCATCCTCCTTTACACAGTCCCCTGACTCTGTAGCTCCTGGGGCCCCACCCCTCCAAACCTATCCTTCGCAGAACCGGCCCCTTCGCCCCAGCAGGAAACTCAGGCTAGAAGAGAGATCTTCTGAGTCCCTGCAGGAAAGGTAAGGCTCAAAGGCAGGGAAGAGGGCAATGCTGGAAGTGGGAGGCGAGGACTAATGGGGAAGATGGTCCCCAAATTTCCCAACAGCTGGGAATCTTGGGCAGATTTCTGAAACTGCCCATCCGCACCCAGGACACCCCCACTGAGCCCTGAGAATGCCCAGGATTCATGGGCAGAGGAAGCTCTGGACAGCAGCTTCCTGGGGTCTGGGGAAGAACTGGATCTGTTGGGTGAGATTCTGGACAGTCTGAGCATGGGACCCACCAGGGCGAGCAGCCTGCGGCCCAGCCACAGCCTAGACTGCTGCCACAGAGGGGACCTGGACAGCTGCCTCAGCCTGGTGAGCCCTCCGGCCTGCCTTACCTGCCCATCCAAAGTGCCACCCTTCCCCCGCCCCCCCCCCACCGCAAAGTCCAGCAACTTACTAATCTCCCCACCCCCATCCAGCCCAATTTACCAGAAAGACCAAGATGGCAGCTAGATGAGGAGGACACCTCATGTGAGCACCAGCCCCAGTCCCTGCCTGCCCGCCTGCCCTCTCCGCAACCCCCCCAACCTCTGGATACCACGAGCTCCTCGGAGAACCTCGCTCCCCAGCCCCTCTCAGAGGCCAGCCAAGAAATCACTTCTTCATCCAGGTCTTTAACAGCTTCTGCAGACTCAAGCAGCAGAGAGGACTTCAAGCCCTCCCTCACAGAACCTCCTCATCAAATCCTACACCTCTCCACTCTCTGCAAGGCAGCTGGAGAGCCCAGAGCTGAGGAGAGCCCCCGCTCCCAGCTCCACACAGCACCCACCCAGCCCAGCCCTCCAGAGAGCCCCCAACCTCTGGTCCCCACCAAGCACAGCTCAGATATCACCTGGATCTCTCAACCCCTTGACTCTTCCTCCGATCCCAGTTCCCCAGAAAACCCCAGAGCCCAGCTTTCCGAGGGCCTGCGAACAGAGTGTTCTCACCTTCAGCCCCCCGAGGAGCCAGGAGCTCCCAGACCCCCTGCCAGCAACTGTCAGGAGCCCCAGGCCAGAAGTGGGCCCAGAGTTTCTGAGCTTAAAAAGTGTTTTGAAGGTTAAGGATCAGGCATCTGGAGGAGACACCATTCTCTCAATAAAGTCTCAAGAGGACAAAGCTGGTTTTTTTTTTTTCCTGGTGAGTTTACCTGAGGGCCCTATCTCTGCTCAGAAACCCACCCCATCCACCACCTTCCCTATTGATGCAGCCTCCAGCTGGCTCCTAGGGGGAGCAAAAACCCCTCTCTTCCAGGAAGCCCTCCCAGCCCCTCAGATCCTCACAACCTTACAATTCATCCCTCTACAGCCTATAAGCCCTGCACTTATTTCCTCCATGTAGGCTAATTTCTGCCTCCACCAGCTCAAAAAAAAGGCTTTATTATACCTCACTACCAATTTTACACATATATATAAAAAGTGAGTGGCCCCACCCTCCCTTGCTCTCAGGGGCAGAGTCTTTGAAGCACCTTTTCCCTTCTGTTCTTAGGAGCTGGGCTGGATGTATTTGAAGGCCCAGAGAGGGATCAGCCTCGCCTCAAGGTCACACAGCAAGGGAGCAAGATGGATAGAGGAAGGGGACCTAGATGGGCAGGCATCCCTGCACTTTCTCCTTGGAGTCCTGGGGAGCCTGGGCCTCGGTTGCATGGGAGAACTGAAAGGAAAGGAGAAGGGGGGGTTGTCGGGCCTTTGTGGAGGTGGTGCGGCAAGCAGGAAGGCAGGTCCCTAGCCCCGGCACCCCCAATTGCAGGCAAAGTCATGCAGAGGAGACATGCTTCGCAGAGCCCCCTGGGCAGGTGCCCCATGGCCCCCAAGTCCAAACTGAGCCGTGAGAGACTGGTGTCTTGGTGGCATTTGCTGTGTGGGAGCAGGTGCTATGCAGTCCTGGGCGGTGACGGCAGCTGTGGTGGACCCCAGTGTTCAGATGAGCCGCTCCTCAGGAGGCAGCTTGAGGTTGGGGGGTGGTGGCGCACGGGCACCCACCTGCTCCTCACTGCTGGGCCGGTAGGTGCCTTCTGTCTGCCGCTTCTCCCGCAGTTTCCGCACCAGCAGCACCAGCCCCACGGCCAGAAGCAGGGCGGCCAGGAGGGAGAAGACCACAATAATGGCAGTGGTGGCCTCCTTAGACTGCGAGACAGGGGCAGGTGTGACTTCCCTAAATCTGGGAATCCTGTCCACCCCCACCTAGAAGCATCTGGGTTCCTAATGCCCCCACCCACACCTGCCCCTTTAGGTGATCTGGTTCCTCCACCCTAATCCCCCATCTATCACTTTTGGGGCTCCCGGTCTCCTACACCTTCCAGGTCTGGGGCCCCCTTCCCAAGCACCTGCCACATCTGGCCCCCTAGCTTCCTCCCTCCCTCCTTCTGAGAGGTCTATGGGGCTCCTGACCCCCTACACTTGCCACTGTCTACTCCCTTCCTGAAGTACTGGGTTTCCCCAATTGCCAGCTTAGTATTCTGGTTTCTTGGGGTTCTCCAATGCCATCCCCTACCCTGACCTACCACCTCTGGGGATCTAGGAATCTCCATCTGCTACATGTGGGCTCCTGAATAACATCCCTGCTGCCCTCCTGCCTTGTATAGCCCCCAACTCACCAGGGCCCCATTGGAGTCAGGGTGTGGGGTGGTAGAGGTGCCATTCTCATATGCAGTAGTGGGCTCCAGCGCTGCAAGGAGGTGGTAGAAAGGATGAATGAAGCTCCCTCTATCCTTCCCATCTTGCACATCTGCACCTTCCTTGGGGATTCCCCTTGCCCCCCCCCCCCCCTTAGAACTCTGCCCTTCTGACTGCTGGTACTCTGCTCATAGGAGCCAGCCCAGCGGTACCACTCCTCTGGCCACCCCCAGTACAGCCCAGCAGTGAGCAATCAGCCACAGTAGTTTGCAGTCTGCCTTGAATTGGGGGCTATGATAGTGGATAGTGTCTGGAAACCCAACTGCCCCCTCCCCTTCCCTCCCCTCCCCTCCCCAATCCCTGGCCTTTCCTTGGCCCTTAAAGATCTGGACAGATCTTGCTTTTCCCTGGAATATCTGTTTTATTCCACCCCCTAACCCTCACCCTAGGCTCTTTAAACTGGAAGAAAAGAACTGAATGGCTGGCTGGGTCCACCCATATGGACATCCTGGTGGTCATCCTGTGCTCAGAGCCCCAGGCAGGCCTCACCCAGGCTCACAGCCAGCCCAAAAACACCTCAACCACAGAGACTCAGATATGCAGGCTTCCTCTGCCCCCAGCTCATAATTCCACTCCAGTCAGGAACTCAGGTTAGACCAATTCAGACAGACCAAGGACTAAGGAATTCAAATTCCCCAGCCCTGACCTTGTAGATTGCTGCCCCCAAGGCACTCCAAGCCTGCTCCCCACTCCTTGATCTCTCATAGTCCCAGGTCTCCAGGGCCCCTGCCGGTACCTACTTTGCCCCCAGGCCCGGCCCCAACGGGCGGGCCCCAGCGACAGGCCGAGCGCCAGGAGCAGCCCCAAGCCGGGGCTCGCCATGGGCCGGGCGACTGGCTGGTGGCACCAGGGACAGGGCTTCTCACGCGCTCCGCTCCTACCGCATCTTGGGCCGGGGGTACTAGAGTCTTGGCACCTGGGGGAGGGAGACGGAGAAAGGCCAGGGCATGGGGGAGGAGGCTGGACCCGGGCGCAGGCCCAGGGGAGGGGCGACCCGCGCCGGGGCACCCCGGAGTCCAACCCCGCCCCGCCGCCGGAGGTCAGAGATTAAAAATTAACTCGCGGAGGTGCGTTCCTGGACTCCGGAAAGTGAAGGGAATGAAAGAAGCAGGCAGCAGGCCAACCAGCGCGACCTGCCTCCCTACCTGGCACGGGGTCTTAGATCTCGCTTAGGCTCCCGGTCTGGCTCCCTCGCTCGAACCCTCAGTGCGTCGGTCGCTCGATCGGACTACACCGGCTCCTCCCGCTCACGTGACCCGGAAAGTTTAGTCACTCACCTGGGAAGGGAGCGTACTTCCGGCTTGTGCACCTGAACTGAGATGAGAGGGCGGAGCAAGGAGGGAGGTGGGGCCGTGCCTCGAGCGCACCTGTAACGGGAACCCAATCCAATAATGGGGAGAAGTAAAAAAAAGGAACGGAAGTGCGCAGGTGCCAGAGGAAACTCCCACTTGTATTTCGGGCACATCTGTAGGACCTCACAGGTGTGGAGACACAAGAGGCCCGAAGACACCGAGGTAGGAGGCACTCCGGTCTGGGGCGGATCCAGATGGGGAGTCCCTAATGAAAAAACACCTGCATGGGAGCAAACCTGTAGAGAAGACACCTGCAGGGACACGTAAGAAACACCTGTGGGAGACATCTGCGTTGACTCACATCTATTTGGAGAATAGCTGAGTAGAAGCATACCTGTGTGGAAAACAGCTGTATAGAACAGCTGCAGTATAGCAAACGCCTCACGGAGGCGCTCTGGTGTACGGGCTTGAAGACGTATCTGCGTGGCTTACCTACGAAATGAACACTCGTATAACAAATTTCTTCGTAGAACTGTATTGGTAATACCTGTATGAGACACACCTGCATTGAAGTACACCTGCACGGAAACCAGTTCTATGGGAATAGACACATATGGGTGTATACTAAACTGGAAAACACCGGTGGGGTGGAGATACGCGGTATAACACATTCCTGGGTGGATTTCTTTTGAGAAGCAGACCTGTGAGGTGAAGGAAATAGTCTTGTATGAGGAACGTCTGCGTAGAAATGAGAGAAAGACCTGAGAACATCTTTATGAAGCACATTCACATGGAAGCACGTGGGGGGTGGGGGTGGGCAGGACAGAGACTCGTGTGTATTGAGGCCCACCTGTCAGAGACACATCTGAGAAAACCTGTTTGGAGCATGTTCATGGGAAAACATCGGTATCACCATGATGGAGGACCCTCTATAAGAGGCTTGTTGGTCTGGGACGCACCTGCTTCGAGCACACCTATGTGGGCAGAGCCTGAGTGGGAACCAAGAGTGTCCTCACAGTTGTACCTTTGAATAGAGGACGACGTTAATAAGACGACCTCCTCCTGGGGACTGTAGGGTGAATAGTGATGCCTAAGGGGAAATTAATCCCTTTTAGGATATAAAGGGATGGATAAAGATCCCAGGTCTGCATAAATTCCTGCTTTGCCCTTACTGGGCATATGGACTGGGGAGCGCTCCATAACGTCCTGTTTCCTCATCCGAGAAATGGGAAAGCCAGTCCCACCTACCTTATAGGGTTTTGGCGAGGACAACATGAGAGGTGAGTAAAAGGTCTGGCATGTGTAATGCACTGAATCTATGTTAGCTGTTATTATTATTCGCTGTCTCGTGATCTGGGCGCCCCTCCCCCTAATGATGACTCGAGAAACTGCTCCCGAAACGAATGGGAGGGATATTCGGTAGTTGCAGTGAGCGCGACAAGCTGGGGCCCAGCCTTCTGAGCTCAGCTACCCTGTACGGGTCCTTAGCCGCGCCTGGGACCCTGAGACCCTCCAGGATGGTCTGGAGAGAGCAGTCAGCGGGGCTTCTGGACGAGGCCTCGGCCCCTTTAAGACTGCCAGTGGAGCCCACGGAGGCGGAGCCCGAGGCTGCCCACAGTAGGTGGGCAAGGCGGGACCGGCGGGCACAGCTCAAGGTGGTTCTGGCCAATAGGAAACCGATCTTGCAGCCGTGCCGCATGTTGATCTTTTGTTTTCCAGTCTAAGTAGGACCAAGAAAGAAGGCGCGCGGGCGAGATTTAGGGACTGAGAGACCCCGTCACTTTCAGCTCTTGCGTTTCTGCAGCTGAGGGGCGAATGTGAAATGAGAGAACGAGCAAATGCAGGGCTAGGTTGCGTTGGACTGGTAATTGAGTATGTCTGGGAAAAACGAGAACTTTAGTTTCTGAAGAGGATTAGTAGGGAAGGAAGATCCGTGGAAAGATTACGAAACCCAGTCCCCGACATCTCCTTATTTGGGCAGAGGGTAAACTGAGGCATACAGAGGCGGAACACTGAAAACGGAACTGAGACCATTGATCTCTCTAGCCAGCCCCTCTCCCAGAATGAGCCCCGATGCTCCCTAGGCAGTGCAATACC